GTTTAGGGTTTAGGGGTTTAGGGTTTAGGGTTTGGGGTTTAGGGTTTGGGGTTTAGGTTTTTGGGGGTTTAGGGGTTTAGGGTTTAGGGTTTAGGGGTTTAGGGTTTAGGGCTTAGAATTTAGGGTTTTAGGGTTTTAGGGGTTTAGGGGTTTAGGGGTTTAGGGGTTTAGGGTTTAGGGTTTAGGGTTTAGGGAGGGTACGGCAAGATTGAGTGCTACAGCTTGTCTGCATAATTACTAATAGTCCTTCTTCGGGTTTCCTTATTTAGCTATAGCAGAAAATAGCCAAAAGCCCTAGGGCCCCCATTTGACTTCAACCGTGCAGCATGTCCTGTCTGCAGGACACTCTCGCTGGACTGCGGGCTCGTGATCCCAGTGCCGAGCGTGCCCATGCTGAGTTCATGCATGTTCAACTTTGCTCACGGGCCGTGGTGCGGCTGTAACCATACAAGTATGCTTACGTCCGGATGTCTTCTTCTCAGAACATTGCATGTCTTCGACTTGATGCGGAAGAAACTTGTGAGGTGTTTTCTTTGCGAATAGCCAGGTTCAGCTGTGCGCCCGCTTTCGGGTTTTGAGTTCGGGCTTTCAGCTCTTGGGGTTATGCTTTGGTTTCGTGATGAGGGCTTCTACTTGGGCCTAGGTTGTTTGGCTTGGTCTCAGATCGCGGCACTGAGGCATCATGATGCAGGCACTTGAGGAAGGGGCAGTTGCAAATCAGTATCTGCACACCACCACATGCCCGGAAGTGGCACTCTACTATGCAGAGGCTTTTGGGAAGAATTCGAAGCACCAGATCGTGGAGATTGAGCTGGAAGGTTTCAACGGCGAGGTCTTCGATGTTTCAGACGCCCAGGCTTGCAATCGCTACGGAATCCGATACGGTAGCCGAGCATACAATTTTGCTGTGAAGCACAAAGTTGTGATGCTCAAAGGTTATGTGCACCCCAGTCGGTTGGGAGAGGTTTTGCGAACATCAGACTTGAGCCTTCTGTCCTTCGGCACCGGACCCTCATGCGACGACTTTACATCGATGCTGCCCCTCTTCGTGCGACGGCAACTCTGCGACTGGAGACGAGGACCACCCAGGGCCACTTGCAGGAAGCCTGAAGCGCGCAAGTCACAGCATCAGGCCTTGTGCGATGATGATAGCATTCAGGGCAGAGTGCTGGACCAAGCTGCTGAGAAGCTGGAGGCAAAGATAGCCAAGCTCCAAGCTCAGAGGTGCCTCGTGAAGTTACTGTCGGAGCCGATCAAGGAACGCCAGAGGCGTGAGACACAACGCCAGGAAGACTTGAAGCGGAAGCGCGAGGAGGAGCAACAACTCGAGGAAGAGCGGCAGAAAAGGCTGAAGAGGGAGGAGGCAGAAGAGCGTCAAGCAGAGCTGCGTGGGCCGAGGATTTGGGCCCGCTGTTTCTGCCGGGATCATGTCCTTCAAAATTTTGACCGCCATGCCTCGCAGGTGGCCCTAGGCAGCAACAGCTACATCATTTTGTGGGACCGTGCCAAGGGCCATCGCTGGAAAGGCATTCCAAGGGAGCTCGCAAACAAGCTCAAAGGTCGCGCAAAAGAGCTGCCACATGCGACACTGGTTGCATTAAGCCCGGATTCCGATTGCTACTATGTGCAGTTCAGTGACGGGAAGTCTCACTATCGTTCCCCACCTGGGCTCGTCACGGCCCTGCAAGAAGACTCCGAGACCCCTTCAGTGGTGGCCTTAGGTCCAGAGAGCTCATGGTTTGTTGCGTGGCCAAATGGGAAAAGCAATCACCATGGATTGCCGAAAAGCCTCCGCAACATGCTGTCCTCAAACAAGGATCGGTCTGTTGCGTTTCTCAGTATTTCGGGCGTGGATTGTGATCAAGATGTAGATGCTGCGGTATGGTTCCTCCGCTGGCGGGACGAAGGGCGAAAGCCAAATTGGAGGCTTAGTAGGAATGCGCCGTCATCCCTACAGCAAACTGCAGAAAACGCCTGCAATTTGCGAAGCATCGAGTTTGGTAGCAGTGACGACTGGGTTCTTCGTTATGCAGACTGAGCCAGGCCGAAGCAGACTCCCGGATGTGTCAGAAGACATGCATGCAATCTATGTAGAACAGTATTATATCAGATGGCGCCACAGAGTGTTGCTTGCGAGCATGCGCTCACTCACGCACACAGACGCAACTACCCACCAATCATCCAACCAACCAACCAACCAACCAACCAACCAACCTACCTACCTACCAACCTACCTACCTACCAACCAACCAACCGACCCACCAACCAACNNCCTACCTACCTACCTTCCTACCTACCGACATACTATGTATAGACACGTGTACACATGTGTGCATCCTGCTTGAACATCAAACTCTGCCTTCACAGCCTAGCTGAGTGAAGCACAGGATCCCCGGCCCCGCGATCTCGTCACAAGATTAGAGCTTTAATCGAAGAGCTGGCTGACCTTGAGACTCTGGCTACAAGTAGTCGGCAACGATTGCAGTCCCCGTATGGATTTTCACTGAGCTCACTGATGCATGCTGCCCCATCCTCCAGCTATCGGATGAAAGACAACAGGAACAGCTAGTTTAGGCTAGGAAATGCAAAGTATAGGATCTGAACCCTATGCGCCAGACAGCGCCGACCTTTGCTAGGGTCCGGGCAGCACCTCAGCTCCCTGACTTTTAATGGCTGCATGCGGCCACTTGGATTCGAGAAGCTTGACCAGGGAAACAGGGGATGCTGCGGCTGCTGCAAGGGATGGTCCAACAAGAGAGCTGCTAAATCGGACCGGGCAAGATGCATCGTGAGTGCCAAAGCTAAATGGCTCTACAGCCTAAACACAGCGAAGCTCTGTGTACTTGGCGAGCAGATTGTAGCTCAAAGCATCTGATGCCGAGAGGTCCTCCGACTGAGACAGTGGTTCGCACCCTCCAAACTCAATCCTGCAAGCTTTTGTCAAGAACTGACAGCAGCAGCTTTGACAGGGTATGCGCTGCGGGGAGGCTTATCGTCATAAAGCTGTGCTCACACATTTTCGGCAGTTCGCACGAGCCATGGCACTCCACAGACTCGGCATTCTTTGGGTCGATGAAAAGGACGAGATGGACAATGCGCGGCAGCACTACGTGCAGCGGTATGTTTACCGAGCCTTACGTTCAGATGAGGACGGTGCACGACTGACTAAGTACCGGCACAGCTTGATACAACCTGAGAATCGCTGATTCGTTTTTGCTTTGGCTAGGCCCAAGACGCGAGAGACATTGGAACGTTTGCATAAGCAGGACGTCATGGCAGGGCTGAGGGCACGGGATCCTGCTGCCAACCGTGCTCAACTGCATTTAGAAAGCCTCCGCTACACTTGCAGGTTATGGGTTTCCCCTTTGACACTGACTTTTTTTTTTCATTTTGTGCCATTTCGCTGTTTCGTCGCAAGCTTGTGAGGCACTATCGCGCAGGCCTTGCAAGAAGGGGCACTTGCGAATCAGTTCTTGCACACGACAGTGTCACCAGAAGTGGCGCTCTACTACGCCGAAGCAGTTTCCAAGAACTCGAAGCAGCAAGTTGTGGAGATCGACCTGGAATACTTCGATGGTGAAGTTATTGATGTGTCAGACCCACATGGTTGCAAGTGCCATGACATCTCTCCTGGCAGCAAGGCCTCTAATTTTGCTGTCAAGCACGGAGTTGTGATGCTCAAGGGCTACATCCAGCCCTCGCGGCTCGGTAAAGTCTTGAGCACCGCGGCTCTTCGTCTGGACGCGACCGCTCAGCGGTCCTTGGAGGGGTTCCTTTCAGCGCTGCCAGAAAGGGTGCGAAGCAAAGTTAAAACCTACTGGAGAACAGACCCCGCCCGTACGAGATGCCGAAAACCTTCGGAGCAAGAACCTTCAGAGCAAGTGTGCCGCGACGATGCTGCCCAGAGACTGGTTTTGAAGAGGGCATCTGAGAAGCTGTTGCAGGAAATAATGGAACTCGAGGCAAGACGGGCTCTTATCGATGCACAGCTCCAGCAGATTCAAGAGAGGGAGGACAGAGAAGCCCGTTTGAAAGAAGAAGCACGAGTGCTAAAGCTTGAGGAGGAACGGCGGGAACGAGAGCGGCAAGAGGAGATCAAGAAGCGCAAGCAGGAGAAAGAACGTGCAAAAAAGAAACATCAGGCGGAGGATACAAGAGGGCCGAGAGTTTGGGCAGCGCTGTCTTCGAATCAGAAACATCTGTCTGAGACCTTTGACAGAGAAGCACTGCATGTCGCTCTTGGTAACGACAGCTACATTACTCTCTGGGACTTTGCCAAGGGCCATGCTTGGTGCAACATCCCGAAATCACTGGAAAACAAGCTCAATGGCCGGGGCTATCATCAGTCGCATGCAACAATGGTTGCGCTCAGCCCGGATTCTGAGGCTTATTATGTGAAGTTTAGCGATGGTACTGCGCAATGGTCTGGTCCTGGCAGCTTCATGGAGGCTGTGGCAGATTACGGGATTCTGTCAGTTGTCGCATTCGGCGAGAGCGGCTCATGGTTTGCGGCGTGGCCCGACGGTAGCTGGCAAACTCACGGCCTGCCAAGAAGTCTGAGCAACATGTTGGACTCAAACAGACACCGTTCTATTGCCCTACTCAGTATCTCCGGCACGGGCTACTTGCAAGATGTCGATGAGGCAGCATGGTTTATCCACTGGGGAGACAATCAACATCCCGCTTGGAAGCTGACGAACGCACCCTCGGCACTTTCAGAAAAAGTAAACGACGTTCAGGAGCAATGGGGCACCGTGAGGAGTATCGAGTTCGGAAGTTACGGAGAATGGGTCCTCCGCTGGACGCCCTGGACCTAAGCTCCTCTACGCAAAGCTCTGCGTTGAGATGAGACCATCCACAATGTTATGGTTCGATCCACTCTTTTCCGCACATGGGCTGCTTGATCTCAGATGCCTGAAACTCCGACCGTGTTGCGGAATGAGTCGCGGTGATCCTTGATTAGCAGCATCTTCGCCAAGGCCATGCTCAAGCAAATAGCAAAACCAAAAGCATCACATTTTGTCATTTGTCGGCGTGTCTTCATGTCATTAGGTCAAGTAGTGCTTGGCACTGAACTGCATAGGCATAGGTACCGGGTTCTAGAGCATGGTGCTTGTCTCACATGAGGGTATAACTCGACTCTTGGGGCCGCCAATCTCCAGGCAAAGCTGCTCATGAATGATCCGAGTCCATCGAGTCCCTAAACCCTAAACCCTAGTCCAGTCCAAAAGTCTCAAGTCTCTTGCGAGCGGAGCCCTGAAGCTGCATTGCAGCTGCCAGCCAGCAGCAGAGAGCTCCATCCTGACCCTACTTCTCGCCCCCCCCCCCCAAAAAAAAAGAAGCGTGTTTCCCACTCACGTGATGATGTCTGCAATTCTGCAGCAAGGACCTCGGACCCTTTGAGCGACAGCTTAGCTTCCAAGTACCGATTACAGTTTATACAGGAAGATCCAGCACACTTCCAGCAACCAACAACCAGACTTTCGCTGCTGCTACTATAGTTGCTGCCATGTCTATGTCTGTCTACTGCCACCACAACTATGCAACCACCGCAGCCACCTCCTCTGCCGGCTCCTCCTTCTCCTCCTTCCTCCACTCCTACTACTGCTCGTGCTCCTGCTGCTGCTGCTAGTGCTACTGCTGCGGCTGCTACAACGAAGGGAGTTTTTATAGTACAATATTATACTGGCACTTGATGAACATGTGCGATGGCAGTGCTGGTCGTGTGATCATTGCCATATGCATCAGGGTGATACTAGTCATTCATACAATAAGCACTAATTGTGATAAGAGTGACAATCTTGTTGACGGAGCCGAAAGTTGCGATGTTGAGAATGGTCGTTGTTCTCAATGGTGATGATAACAATGCAGTGAACAGCGGTTCCACGGCCATGGCACCGACGATGACTGGGATTGTTGTCACCGTTCGGATTTCGGTGGAAGTAACATTTGCAAAGGCTAGGGCATCGATACTCGTAGCCATTGGCGGCCAACAGCATGCTGTTGGAAAGCGAAACCAAGTCTCCCGGAGAATTAGTATAAAGCTGGCCTGCTGCAGATGATGCGACCCCGCTTCAATGGGCCAGAGACCCAGCAAAAGCGGAGCTTAGGGCCAGCCAGCTGGTAGAGGAAGTGTTAAGGTTTTGGGCTTCAGGGCCAGCTTCAATGGTCTATGCCTTATGGTTCAAGTGTCATGGCAGCCTTGATGACTGTCGTCGTTCAGGTTCGTAGTAGCTAGGTTTCTGGTCGCCGAGGTTTCTTGCCTACAGGTCTAAGATGTTGGTTCGTGGTCTTCGGTTTAAAGCACAAAGATATAGTTGACCCACAACCTGCTCATTGGGTTCATGACTTCGAACCCCAAGCCCTATGTAAACTACCCAAATGTATGTCGGGTTTTGGGACGGGCGCAAAAGCACGACGCTCGGACTGGTAGAGTCTAACACTTCCTTTAAACTCATGGTAGCAATAGGGGTAGCACTGATCGTAATGTAGGGGTGCCATGGCGCTTTCTTTGCCCACCTCCTACACCCCAGACCATGAACTCCAAAGCCAAAATCTTCCTATTGCTTAAGAGCAAGATCTCGCTATCCATCATGCGAGACAACATACTATAGTTCCGGTAGATCACAAGGTAATTCAGGTAAAGCAGGATTTCTCATTAGAAGTACTGTAAGCCTCCCTGGGAATGAGGCCCAGGGGTCTGAGAAGAGAAAACAGAACTCCGAAGGAGACTTAGGCGGATCTCCCCAAAAGTAATGGCGATGATTCTCATACCTAAACCCTAAACCCTAAACCCACAGTCGCCCTACGAGAACTTCTATAAAGTGATGAGAATGCTTCTCATTTACGTTACTCTTGATCGGGTCGGCCCTGCACCATGTCCAGCCTCCTCGGGCATCCTGCATGGCACCCCAGCAGAGAATTTTCCTTACAGAGGAGTTTAGGGTTTTGGGGATTTGTGTGGGCATCAGACTGATGGTGTTGCCACTGCCCTAAACCCTAAACCCTAAACCCTAAACTGCTACATGGTGCACTTTTCAAGCACTGTGAAGATTCGGTTTACACCCGCCAAAGCGATATCTAACGCGTTCCACGCTACACCCTAAAGCCTGCACCCTAAACCCTACA